GCTCTAGCCCGTCTAGTCTAGCCCAGATTCTTTTTGCTTGTACTTGTGCGTTTGCTTTTGCTCTTGACCCCTCTCATCTTAATCTTAATCGTACTCGAACTTATTAGTGTGAATTTAGGTGCTCCGTATTCGTAGTTGCCCAGGTACCTAGGTAGTTAGCATTGCTATGGTGTCTTGGTTTTTTCTTTTCTTCTTTCGAAGAGGGGGGCGTGCCCCGTTTGGTCAGAACACGCATGATAATCTTTACAACATTGAACCGGCTGGTGGTGCCATGACTGAATCGGCCCCGGCCTTGCTCGCAACCAGCCGCGCACAGCATGTTTTGCGTCACTTGTCTCCTTGGCGGGCGTGTCGCGGTCCTCTCGCGGGCCCGCATGTGCATCATCTGCACTTGCATTTGCAGTTCTTTCCACTCTGTTGATGGTCCCAGAGACCTCTGGTGGTCAATGGCATTGCCAAATCGGCAGGCGACACCCACACCTCACACCTCACACCTCATCGACACCTCACCATCCAGATGATGTGTCCGCCAGCGGCTTCGGCGCTACTGCAGCTATTCCTAATCCGTCCACCCTCCCAGCAATCTTAAGGTTCTGCCCCTGTCCGGACGCAATCAAGCGGCCCCTGTTCCTGGGAGAGGCTTGCCCCAGCGCTCTGGCGCGGGACTGGCGGGCTCGAAGACGGAGCTTGTGGCTTCCAGGGCCGTCAACGGTGGAGCCGACCAAGATGATGATTTCTGGTTTGAGGATTCAATGTTCGCCTCATCCAGATTGTCCGCTTGCTGACACCACGATGGCATGGCATTTATGATTTACCATATTAGTACTGTCTAGTAGTTCCTGTATGTACAGCACTCTGTATTATTGCACATGTTTGCTCCTCTTGCATTCCTGCTCATTGTTTCCTTTGTCGTTGGCGCATCGCACATCGTCATGTTATGTATGTATGCTTGGCTTGAGAGCCTGCCCTTTGCGTCCACGGAGAAACCCTCGAGCACTACGCAGGGTGCTATGCACGACATGTTCCTCCGCATGTCTCTCTCTCCCTCTCTCATAAGCGTGGGCATCGTCGTCTGTCATGAAAAACCTGTGGCTCAGCATCATCCAAGGGCCGTCTGGTTGGTTGGGTCTTGCTCCGTACTTGCGCTCACAACCGGCGCACAAAAAAGAAAACAAGTCCGCTCCGAAACTCCTCTCCGTGCGGCGTATCGAAGACACTACTCCGTACATACTTACATACTGGTACTGCATACACTGGTCAAGTCCATCCATTGGGCTCCATGGCACAGCGATAGCTGTCACACCTTGACTGATGAGCTATGCCGAGACGTTCCATACCATGAAAGCGGCCGTGTCCTGACCCTTCAGCTCGTCCATATCTGCTCTGTCATGTATGTATTTGTGTTTCTATCTCAGCCCCCAGGAAGGGCAGATCCCGAGTGGACGGGAAGAAAGCAAAATGTCCCGTGTCGCCGTGTCGCCGTGTCGCCGTGTCGCCATGCTCGCTGTGCTTCCCCATAATATCCCAATAAACGGCAGCCTGTTCTACAGCCATGACACACACACAGCCTTGCGCGCGCGTACTGCCGTTCGTGGCTGAATATTCCAACATGGCGGGCGCCCCGTCATCCATTACATTGGTTGTCGAGCTTGCTTTATCTCGCTTGACCGCTTTCGTGGAAACTGTGCTGCATATTCAGAATGAACTGGTGGTGTCGAGACGTAGATTGCAAACTCAATCTTCCTGGCCTCGGAAGACGACAATCCGCTAGCGCATCGCTCTCTACCCCTTCCATCTCCCGCTTGACAGGCCTGCGGGTCAATCCATGCCCCCGACAAAGGACTCTTGGAGTCTTGGGGGAGCGCCCACGTATGTCGGTCGAACGGCGGACAATTGATTAGTAGTTTGGCCCTGACTAGACGCGGCCGGCTTCAACCACCAAGATGGGCCAGGCCATGGTGTCATTCGTTTTGGGGAAAGAGGGGGGTTTCGGAATCGTATGCGAGCAAATCGTCTACCAGTTGCACGTTAGCGTAGACTTGGCGATAGAGACATTATTGGTGGCACCTTGTCGAGTCTCGTCAAATACGCTTCTTATACCCACACTGCACCTGGGTGAATGGGCGCGCCGTTTCTCGGCACGAGTTTGAGTTGATTCAGCCAGTTCCATCGTGGTGGAGGAACATCCACTGGTGGAGCACCTGACCTCATAGGCCCAGAGGCTGAAACGAGGACCCGAGGGTTTGTCAGGCTATCGTACTCCGTTAGTGGTCTTTTTCAAACCTCGAATTTTGATGCGCATTTTCCAACGTGGCCATAACGGCGCTTTCATGTCGGCTCGGCCGCCCAGAGCCTCGTTTCCACGCATTACAGCGGTCTTTGCCGCCTTGGCGGTTAACTACAATGTCATGAGCCCGGCCCTTGCTTCCATCGCCATGGGCGGGCGCACCACTCCATGTCTCCGGCAACACCAGCCCTCCTTCGTACATATGTGCTTCAATGGGAGCTGCATTGGACTAGAGCACCAGGCGTCTTTGTCGCCCAGCCACCAGCACGACAGACACCATCCGCGCATGTTCTGGATGGCCGAATTGTGAGGCAGCACGTTGCACAGCCGCCGCCGCCTGTGCCGTTCAGCTCTGCATGGCATTTGTTGCACTAGCTCGTCAACAACGCAACCCGATGCGGATGGCGAATTGCCCGTCTTTGTCACAGCCTACAGGGCTTAACTATTCTGGGTTCCTAGTGCATTGGGTGCCATTGCCTCGATAATGCATGGAGCATAGATTCGACCTGTTCCGATTGGGTTGAGAACACGGCGAGTCCGATGCGCTCACGGCGCGACTGCATCTGAACATGAACGATTAATTGCTCGCAATGCATCACGGCTGATGCTATGCCCATCATCCCGGTATCTAAAGACGGGCAACGCCGTTTACGTGGCATCGAGCATTGTATACTGTGGAGCTTTCGTCGTTCACAACATTGGCAGACAGACACAGAAATCACTGCACCAGAATTGAAATGTATCCCCATCTTCATGCACCAGAGTCCGTAGAGAATCAAGAGCAGCGGTGTTTGGTAATGAAGGGGATGTTTTGTCTTGGCACGTTGAATTCATCCTTCAGCAGTTGGAGCACAAAGATAGCCCACCGCTGTACACACATATGCCGTTGCAAACAAAGAAGAAAGGGACGATGAAAATGGAAACCCGTAGCAAGAGATGTGTCGTCAATGGCTGACAGACCTACCTGATCTGACATGACTACTGGAAAACTCAACCACTGACCAGAAAATAGGGCCAGTGCTCCGAGATAGTCGTCATTCTGTGGCTGGTAAACAGCGCCGGGTTCTTTCTGGCGGCTCATCGTTTAGGCACTGCAGACGAGAGCAAAGAAGCCGCTCAAGGAAACCTTTGAGCACGTCCATCCAGCACAAGGGTTGTTTGTGTGAGACCTTACGTCCGTGGTGCGATCCCTAGGAGCAAGAGAGTGGAAAAAGGGAAAGCCTGGTGAAAATTTCTCAGGCAAAGAAAATCAAGTGTAGATTCAACGTTGATTATGTAATGCCGGTCCACCTTTAGCTCCACAGCGGCGTAGATACATACATACATTACACATGCAATATCTCGCCTACTACGGAGATTTACTACATGCTACTTGACATTTGATTTCTCATCCAACTTCCGAGGCCATGGTTCTGTCCAACATGATCGTCAAAGAAGCTTGGCCGAGCCCAAAATTGACAACCAAATATTTTAATCTTGCAGCAGCTCCTACTTGTACTCGATGAACACGGCGATGCCCGCCCCGCCCGACAATCGACTTGTCTCGCTTTCCTTCCGATGGACACGCCGCATTCCATCCCAATGCCATTAAAATTCCCGGATCCGGAACTAACGATTGATGCTGTATCATGTCTCTACTTGACTTTTAGGAAATCGAAGGCTGGCTGCGTCCGACGATTTAAGGAGGTTTCCTTCCGGCTCTAATAGCTCCAGTGATATGCTCACCCTTGCGGCATGCGCAGTACTCCGTACACTGCATCGTAACTCGTGAATCGGCACAATTTTTGCTGGGGAATAGTCCAACATGGCTGCAAAGAGATCTTGGGCCCGATCCTCATACAGAAACAGGGCTCTCTTGCCCAGAGCCTTTGACTCTTGACTCCCGCGACACAAATCGACCAGCGGAGCAGTTTATCCCCAATTTGCCACTCATATAAGTTACAACTACCTAGGTACCTACAGTTACGTGCGGGAAATTATTATTTGTGGCTGGTGCATGTGTCGACGGATGGACCATTTTCAATGATGCCACAATGCAAAACAGCCGTACAGAGCAATTGCCCATGCCGCAGCATACCATGGAGTAGGCATTTCAGGACAAGACGACTAGACTATGCGCTACGGGCGGTTAGGCATAAACAGCAGGCATGAGACTATTGTCCTTGTGTTTACCAAGGCATTGGGGGGGGAACACGCACGGAAACCGTAGAAACCAACTTAGGGAGACTACCATGCTGCGGCATCTTGCGGATGATGATGATGATGCCGGGAGTGGGTGCTCATCTCGTCCCCTTTTGTCATGCTACAATGTGATGTTGGAGTTCACCAAATATTGTCGTCCCACATCCACTACATTCACCACGCCCTGAAGCAAACACGCGCGCTGCAAAGCCACCACATGCAGCAGGCAACATCAATGGGAAACTGATGCAGTCAGCTTACGAGTCTATTGCGTGTCAGCTTACCATCATGGCCTGTACCACCAGTTCGGGTTTGCCCCACCAGTCTTTGCTGTCAAGGAAGCTCTCCGCATCAACGCGGACTCACCATGGCTGGCTGAATTGTCTCTTGTATCCAAAGCCTACAGTGAGTTGGTTGTCTTTGACTAGAGAGCACTAGTGCCTTTGCTTCAACGTTTGTCCTCTTGTGTCAAGATTGTGTGTTCCTAATATCGTGAAGCTCAGGCGCATCTACAATCAACCGCAACGGCGCCATGTCAACCGAGGACCCAATACGCGACCAAGACACAGGGTCCTTGAATACAGATGACTTCTCCGAAGAGCTACATCCGTTTCTCCCCTCGCAAAGCGCCAGACAGAAATTGCGCTTCACCGGCACCAAGTACCACATCTACCTGCTCTTCTTCATCCTTGCGGGCCTCGACTCTACCGTCTTTGTGCTCAATCTTCCCCTGACGCGGGTCTACGAAAGCATAGCCTGCTACCAATACTTTTCTACCCACGAGCCTCGGCGGTATTTGGATCCGGGGTCCATCCCGGAGCAGGAATGCAAGATTGCGTCTGTGCAGGAAGAGTTGGCGCGTGTCAAGGGGATTGAGTTTTTATTCATGATGGTACCAGGTAAAGAAGGCCCTCATGTGTGTGCGTTCTGGTGGTCGTTTGTTGACCCTGTTTAGGTCTACTTCTTGCGATACCGTACGGAATACTGGCAGATCGATGGGGACGTCGGCCTGTTTTGCTACTCTGTTTGCTGGGTTTAGCATTGGCGATTGCTGGCGTGCTGATGGTTTGCTGGTTTTGGTGGTTGGTCCCGTTGAGGTTTGTGTGGTTATGTTGGCTACTCACGGGCATTGGTGGCGGGCCGGCAGTTCTGAGTTCGACGATTTACACCATGCTCGCCGATATTGTCAGTCCAGCAAAGAGGTGAGTAATCTTGCTCCGATTCAATGGTGGTGCAGGACGCTGACCGAGTAGGGCAAACACATTCTTGCAACTGACCGTGGCCGTGCTCATATCGCAAGCCATCTCTACACCCCTTGCGTCTGTTCTCATGGCCAACTATGGAACAACATTGCCGATTGCATTTGGATACGGACTCGGACTTAGCGTGTGCTTCATGTGTTCATTTGTCCCAGAGACGGTTCATCTCGGCACCTCCAAAAATGCAGAGGAGCTGCCATTCGATGAGGCCGCAATAGCTTCATCGCACGTCGCGAAACAGAACTGGAAGGCGAGAATCATCGGGCTCTTCTCGCCGAAGAGCAGCGGTCTGAGCCTGTGGCTGCTTTCGCCAACCTTGCTCGCCTCACTGGCAATTCTCTTCGTGGACAGCTTCAACGCCTCAACCATCAATATCTTGGTTCAATATACGTCCAAGAAGCTGTCCATACCAATCTCCAGCGTCGGCTCACTAGTCACCATTCGAGCAGCCATGACAATAATTGTTATTCTCCTCGTGGTGCCATACATTGGAAGGAGGCTCGAAACGAAATGGAGGTTGGACAGCCACTCTCGCGACCTTTGGCTTGCACGGATAACAATGTCCATCTGTCCATTCGGCTTTGCGCTGCTGGCCATGGGCCAATCTGTAATTGCAATTGCAGTCGGCATGGTCCTCGTTGCCACAAGCTGGGCTTGCTGCAGCAGTTTGGTGAGGAGTATTGCGACGGCCATGGTGAGCCCAGAGAGGACATCCGGGCTCTATGCTGTCATCAATGTCTTCCAGGCGGTGGGTGCTTTGGTTGGGAACCCGCTGCTGGCAGAGCTGCTGGCGGTGGATGTCAGGTCTGGTAATGGTTGGATATCGTTGCCGTTTGGGCTGGCAGGAGTGTTGAGTATTTTGTCATGTGCCATCATTTGGGCTGTGAGGCTCCCTCCCACGACGGGAAGCCAGCGTGGGTTGTTCCTGCGTGGTGGTGATGCCGATGTATTGTAAATGTGTGCTCCTGGTCGAGCCCATCCTATTCCTTTGTCGAAAAAGTAGCTGCTTCCATTGGGTCTCACGATTGGCTCCGTCAGGTGTCCCCGTGCTTGTGTGGTGGGCAACCGGAAGGCGTGACGTTGAATCCAATATCTGGACATGTACGGAGTACCACGCCCCTGAGGTGGCTTGGCCGTTCGAAATGAGCCCTGAAAGAAATATGAGCCACGACAATTGCAGAGAGCATTTTCATATGATTAATGCAAGGATACGGAGTACTCCGTACTGCGTTAGGTTTGGACGGTTGCCCCTGTGAGTTGTGCACAGCCATTGTGTCCATCTTTGCGGCGATTGTCATAACCTTTCATCTAAAGACTCACCTTTACAAAGTGCACTAGGTACTCTGGTACTCCGTAGACGAGGCTAATTGTATTAATAGTCCGACCCCACCGTTGGTAGTTCTGTTAGCTGCTTCCTGGCTTCGTCCCGAAGTGCTAGGATTTCTAATTTGGCGACTTGCCATTGGCGAACTTCCCGGGCCTTGCCAGGTTCGTCCTAGCTTGGCCTCGGCACGCACCATAGCAACAGCTGAGAACCCGGCAGCCACCGCTAGCTAAGCAGAGGAGAAACTATCAGACCAATCAGACATGGTTGAGCTGCGTGAGAGCTCTCTCGTCCATCGTTCATTTTCTTGGTCTCCATGTCAAGATCTGCACATCCAATGTTTCCCTATCCCTAGTCCACGTTTGTTGACAAGTTAGTCGAATGGCTTTTCTTTGTATTCTTAATTGATTTGAGGCTACTTTTAACGCTCTTGTCCCCTCGGCCTCCCTTCCCTTCTTTTTTAGGCGCTGACGTCAAGTGTAAGCGAGCCTCAATCCTGTTGCCAAGTTCTTGTTTAGGCTGAAAGATTGCCAAACATTGACGAGGTTTTTGGCTTGCTAACCCTGTCCATTTGATCGACCCAAACAATCTCCAGCCTTAGGGGGGCAGACGTTTTGCCATTGACAAAAAGGCCATCTTTCTCAGTCTGTCACGATATCAAGTGAGGACGCGCAACCATGGCGTCGCAACGCAGCGCTGACGCTCAATACGACGACGACACGGAGCATAACCCTCACGCCTCTGCCAGTCGATGGCGCCATCAAGAATCTTCAGCATACCGTCGCCACGCCGGAAATGGTCACGGTCAAGCTCGCGACCCCGTCTCTACTGAGACGACGACTGGCGACCTGGCTACTTTTTTGAATGCCTCAAGAGTCGAGCCCACGGGCGACACCAATGGCGGTGGAAACTTTCAGCCCATTACTGTTGCGGCAGTGCAATCCAGCGACCGAGAAGAAGGCAGCGGCGGTGGTGGTAGCAGCACTCCTCCACCAGATGGCAAGGAGATTGTCTGCGGGCCATTGCTCAACTACCGCCGAATGGAGCAGGATCGCTGGTATGGTAGCGTGTTGATTGTCGCAACGGGTGGTGGAAAGGACATCCTTTATCAGCCGTCTCTGGTGTTACGTCGGGCAGACGAAGCGGCAGCAAGGCACCCCGACACTACCTCCGCCGCCGGGGAAGCCCAGTTCCAAGCCCAGCGCCTCTATTCGGATCCGAGAAACACGTTTTGGGCGTTCGAAATTGACGTACCGATCGAGGCGCGAGAAGTCAGGTACGAGTACGAAATTCCGGATGTGCGATACTCCAGAGACCACAAACCCCGAGTCAATAACTTCTTCGTACCGGCAGCCGACGAGTCCATGCGCGTCATGTTTCACTCGTGCAACGGCTTCAGTGTCGGCACGGACGAGGAAGCATTCAGCGGCGCCCCTTTATGGAGGGATGTGATGCGAAAGCACGAACGCGCGCCATTCCATGTCATGTTGGGCGGCGGCGATCAGATATACAATGACGGAATCAGGGTCAACGGTCCTCTTCGCCCGTGGACCGACATTCGCAACCCTAAGAAGCGCTCAGAATATCCATTCCCAGAGAAATTGCGAGCCGAGTGTGACGACTACTACCTGAAGAACTACATTCGCTGGTACAACTCTGCGCCGTTTGCCCTGGCCAACGGCCAGATTCCGCAAGTAAATATTTGGGATGATCACGATGTAAGACGTCTTGTCGAAGCTTCCGTCTCGTCAAAATGTGACTGCTAACAATGCTTGGTAGATCATCGACGGCTTTGGCTCATACGTCGACAGCTTTATGCGCTGCGATGTGTTTCGAGGAATTGGTGGCACGGCGCACAAATATTATTTACTGTTCCAGCACCACCTACCGCCACCGCTATCGACTTACACGTCAGACCACCTCGATGCCAATGGCGACAGCCCTGGCCCGGATCCGAACCAGCTGGTCAACACATTTGTTGCGGATCCAAAGCTAGGGGCCCAGTACATTCGGGGCACCAAGCCGGGTCCGTATGTTGCTGAGCATTCGCTCAGCCTGTATACGCGGCTCGGAGCTCGCATGGCCATGTTGGGAATTGATGCTCGAACAGAGGTGGGTTGAAAGAAAAACAGGCCCTATGCGTGTCAGTTTCACGACTAATCCTTGCACAGCGGACTCGTCGCCAAGTCAACTACCCAGAGACGTATGAGATCATTTTTGAAAGACTGCGTCGCGAACTCAGCGAAGCTGTTAGCTCGGGCCGTCCCATCAAACATTTGATTCTTCTGCTTGGTATTCCCATTGCATATCCGGTGCGTTCTATATGACTAGGCATACAAATTGCAAAAAAAAAAAAAAAAAAAAAAAAAAAAAAGGCGGGGGGCTGGGGAAAAAAAATGAGGCTGGCGTATGGTGACTAACGTGAAAACGCAGCGCCTCACCTGGCTGGAAAACATTCTTCGCAGCCCTATTATTGGACCCATCAAGTTCCTGCATCGTCGATTTGGTGTCGGCGGCGGTCTGTTCAACCAATTTGACGGTAGTGTCGATCTTCTTGACGACTTGGATGACCACTACACTGCAAAGACACACAAGGTCGAGCGCAGAGGCCTCGTTGAGGGCCTTCAGCAGGTTGCCGCCGAATTTTCTGTCCGGGTTACAATCCTTGGTGGAGATGTACATCTTGCAGCTCTTGGTCGCTTCTATTCCAACCCCAAGCTCAAGTTAGCAGCCGAAAAGGACAATCGATACATGGCCAACATTGTTTCATCAGCAATCGTAAACAAACCCCCGCCACAGGCAGTTGCCAATCTCCTCGCGCGGCGGAACAAGATTCACCACCTTAATGGTCAAACGGACGAAACCCTGCTCGACTTGTTTGACAAGGACCCTGGCGAATCAAACAAGACGGCCGACCACAACCACTGCACCATGCCGAGCAGAAACTACGCCATGCTAACCGAGAACTCCCCCAACAATGTCACAAGAGGCACCAATGGCGAGGTATCAGCCGATGGCGAAGCTCCTGAGGCACAATCATTCATCGGCAAGGATGGTCACTCCGAGATACATCAAGGAGAGATTCATGCGGGCACCAAGCACAAGTCGGCATCTGACGCTCACGGCCGCGGTAGCGATGGGAGTCTGGATATTCGCATCAATGTCGAGATTGACCAACACAGTGCCGAGGGTCAAACACAGGCGTATGGATTAAGCGTTCCATTGCTACACTATGAGAGGCCCGCGACACCAGGCTCAAGACCCATGACAGGCCAGTCAACGCAAGCGGTGGCTTAATGTTGTGACATACATGTATACGATTTCTCATCCGCCGCAAAGGGGCACATTTGCCCTACAGGCGACGGCGGCCGCAGGATCTACATGACTAAAGGCCAGTGAGCTCGTGGCTACATATTTTTGGTTAGTATATTTGCGTGCAAGATACCACGAACGAATACGACGGAAGTATAAAGTAATGTTGAACACGCAGCATGTAGAAAGTTGATGAGGTGGACGGCATCTGACTGGACATGTGCTGATGATGAGCTTTTGAGTAATAATATATATTGGTTTGCTTTGTAAGAGTTTGATGGCTTCTGATTGACTGTCGCAAGCAGTGACCAGGAGTTGAGGGTTCGAGTGACTCTTATGGTGCAATGTCTGTTGGTGCTCCCAAGGCCAGTTCTACCGGTGAAAAGATGCGCTCGGACGTTGACGACTGACTGACTGACAGTTACGTAGATTTATCCTCCAGGGCGCTTGCTTCACTGTCCACGTGTGCAGCATTTCGATGAACCACTACCCCCATCGCGTAATCGGAGCCGGCAACAAAGAAATTACATCCATGTTTTATGCAGCCCCAGTGTCAGGTGGTCACACGGACATGATAGGTCATCCGTCTCGCATTCTGCAAATATTCCAACCCGAGCACGGTACTGTCCTTCAAGTTTGCAAACAAGTCCAAAAAGATCATTTGGTGGGGTTCAAAAGGGCAATGTTCTCTCTACTTTCGTGGAAGAGCACTCCAGAAAAGAAGTAACTAACACTTGCCACATGTCTGGTTGGCTCTTTTTTTTCCTTTTCCGCTATGCACCAACAAAACTGTCGACCTTGTAGTTATGTACATATGTACCTAGCATTGTTAATAGTTCATCCCCGTGTGTCTGGGGTTGAAAGTGGAGTGGCGGTTCTGTACGGTCCGAAGTCGGGACCTTTCCAGGACGCCTTGATCAATGCTGCCCAATTGTCCAATCGACGTCAACTGGTGGGCTTGGTGGTGCCAACCTGGGGCGTTGAAATGGAGCTCCAAGCGGTTGTCTGGGGGAAACTGATCCATGTCTGACATCGGCAGAGGAGGAGTCGACGCTGAAGCTGCAGGAGCTTTAGTGCCCAAACGGCACTGATACGCACGTATTGCCATGTTCTGTGCACCGGCGACGCGCATGTGGGTTGTGGGTTGGGGCTCCACATTCCCACCCCGCCACAGTACGTAACAAGTTAAACCGCAATAAGCCGAGCCATGGTGCTCTGCTATTGTTCTGGAACGAGACAAGGTGAATAAAGATGCTCCGAATTATGGACCGGTGTGGAACACGGAGCTTGGGGCGGAGGAGGCCAGGTTGATCTTCGTTGCTGAAAAAAGTCCCTTCCCCCATTTCACGTCCTCATCATTGCTGTTGTGCTTGAGCATCTTTGCTAGTCGAGATTGAAATCGTCCGGGACATCATGAAGTCGGCAGTGTTTACCAGAGCTGGTGCTCAGAGCCTTCGCTCGGCGGCCAAGCCTTCGCAGCGGATGAGCATGGGCACTCTCGCCACTTTCAAGACTCCCAAGGTGGCCAACGAGCCAAACGTGAGTTCACCGCGATGACGGCTTGCGGGCGCGTGAGGAAAGGGAATATGCGATTCTAACTTTGATTAAAATCCAGCACCACTACGCCAAGGGCAGTGCTCAGCGTCAGGGCCTGACTGCTGCCATCGAGAGCTTCCAGAAGAAGTTGCCCATTGAGGTTCCTGTTGTTGTCGGCGGCAGGGAGGTAAGACGCTTTTTTTTTTTTTTGGCAGGCTTCAATCGCAAGGTTGCTAATTCCAAACCCCTAGGTCAAAACATCTGCCGTTTCTCATCAACTAAACCCCTCCGATCACGCCAGCAAGGTGGCCAACTATCACACTGCCACTCCCGCCGATGTCAACAGGGCCATCGAGGCCGCTCTGGCCGCCAAGCCTGCCTGGGAGGCTCTGCCCTTCTCCGACCGTGCGGCCGTCTTCCTCAAGGCTGCCGACCTCATCGCCAATAAGTACCGTTATGAGATCATGGCCTCTACCGTCCTCGGCCAGGGTAAAAACGCATGGCAGGCCGAGATTGACGCCGCCGCCGAGCTGGCAGACTTCTTCCGCTTCAACGTTCACTACGCGCAGGAGCTTCTCACCCAGCAGCCCGAGCACAACTCGCCTGGTTTGTGGAACCGTCTCGAGTATCGCCCTCTGGAAGGTTTCGTTTACGCCGTGAGCCCCTTCAATTTCACTGCCATTGCCGGTAACTTGCCTGGCGCCCCGGCCCTCATGGGCAACGTCGTTGTGTGGAAGCCCAGCGACTTTGCCATTGCGTCCAACTGGCTCGTCTACCAGATCCTCCTCGAGGCTGGCTTGCCCAAGGACGTCATCCAGTTCGTCCCCGGTAACCCGGAGGAGATCACCAAGACCGTCCTCGCCCACAAGGAGTTCACTGCTCTCCACTACACTGGCAGCACTGCCGTCTTTCGCAAGCTGTACGGTGCCATTGGTCAGGGTGTTGCTGAGGGCCGTTACCGATCGTACCCTCGAATCGTCGGCGAGACTGGTGGCAAGAACTTCCATTTGATTCACCCGTCTGCTGAAATCGACAATGCCGTCAAGCACACCATCCGGGGTGCTTTTGAGTTCCAGGGCCAAAAGTGCAGTGCCACATCTCGTCTCTACGTCCCCAAGTCCCTCTGGCCCGAATTCAAGCAGAAGCTCGCCGCAGAGGTTGGCAAGATCAGCGTCGGCGAACCCTGGAACCATGCCAACTTTTGCGGTCCCGTCATCCACGCCGCCTCCTTCAAGAAGCTGTCCGGCGCCATCGACGAGGCCAAGGCCGACAAGGAACTCCAGCTCGTCGCCGGTGGCAAGTACGATTCTTCCAAGGGGTACTACGTCCACCCAACCATCTTCGAGACCACCAACCCCGCCCACAAGTTCTTGTCTACCGAATTCTTCGGTCCCATCCTGACGGCCTACGTCTACGATGATGCCTCCCCCGACGCCTTTGGCAAGGCATGCGAGCTCGTCGACTCCACCTCCGAGTACGGTCTCACGGGCGCCGTCTTTGCCACCGACCGTGAGGCCATCCGCTTCGCCGAGGATAAGCTGCGCAATGCTGCCGGCAACTTTTACATCAATTGTAAGAGCACCGGCGCTGTCGTCGGCCAGCAGGCCTTTGGTGGTGCCCGTGCCTCTGGCACCGACGACAAAGCCGGCAGCCCCAACCTGCTCACACGATTCGTCAACATTCGTGCTCTCAAGGAAGAGTTCAATGCCACCACCCAGGTCCCCTATCCCAGCAACGAGGTTTAACTCCAACTGGGGGAATTTCCGTTGCCGTTTGATGTCCAAAGCCAATGCTAGTGGTGGGGGCAGAGCTAATACAGGTCCTGATGGACGAGTCACGACGTGGAAAAATGGAAGTTGGCCTTGGTAGGGAACTGCCGCTGGCCAAAAGAGAAATGTACGATTTATATACATTGGATTCCCCAGGCACCGAACCAGGATGTATGTAGGCGCTATGATGGGTTAATGAGGTAGCAATTTACTTCTTTTTTTTTTAGCTGTTTTGACATGACAAGGGGGTTATGGTGTGGCAGATGCCAGTGGAAATTCAGAGATCAGCATGCCTTCTCTTGTGGCTACACACGATCCAGTCAACGTAGATGTCAAGGGTTGCTTGATAACGAGGCTGTGGGCTGTAAACGATGGCGGAGTAGAGGTTGACGCAGCTATCAACTGGTCCTTTATCACTCCAACATATGCACGCTTAGACCCTTGGCACATGAATTGCTTCGCGGGCTCACTCTTTTTGCTAGGTGCGCTCACGCACCTCCAGGTACATAGATATTAGGCTATATTATAATATATTATTATATATTTTATTATAAGTAAATATATTTTATTATAAATTAGTAAAGTATTATAAAAATAAATAAAAATGCTCGGCCGCGAAGAAAACACAATCTGCTACAATCTTCGGTATTTTGCCGGCAACAACAGCCTTGATAGTATGTGAATACACCACAGCAGCATTCTGGTTACTAATTTGAGCATGGCCTCGTAGAAAATTGCAGCGAGGCACTTCGTAATCTCGTTCTTGACCACGCACCATATCCAGATACTTTCCAAAAGCACCATCTGAACCGCGAAATCTGTGTCGACCTCTATGCCATCCATCAGAATCAGCAGCCACGACAGCAATTGATTGACAAGGCCACCAGCATAGGGCATTCGCAGAGCCTTGGCCGACCGCTGAACTTGCCGCCAGATGAATACCTGACCATCGCCAACGACCCAATTATAAGACGACTCGAGCTAAAGCTGAAAAAGCTTCCTCGAAGATCAGAAGAATTTGCGGCCTGCCGGAAACAGATCAATGCAACGAGAAGAAGGATGGTTAGTGCTAGGCGCCAGGTCTTCAGAAAAGCCTGGACAGTCCAGCAGTCTGGTCAGTGCGAGATATTGACCAACCAGTAATTGAACGGCCAAGCCCTGCGCCCTACAGAGGCCCGTGCAGCACCAGTCAGACAGCTGGCACACCAGAATATTAGTTTGTAGATGCTACCAACATGCCATTACCTCGCCATAAGGACAGCCAGCAACAGACAAAGTTAACAGCAGACTGGCGAGCCGCAGTAATCATTGAAATCATGGCCTACTGTCGGACCGAGGAGCCTCATATAGTCAATGTCTTGGCAAATCCACCACCAACAATGCCATCTAAGCTAATGCAAGCAAAACACGATCCTTTGTCGTCCATCACAGTCTTGGATCAAGAAACGGCCGAGCTGCTGAGGCGGTCAGTTATTGCAGAGACCCTTGGCCAGTCCATCTTTAACTAAGCATCCGCCATCTAATCGCTCACTCATAGCATACCTGAGGGCCTCTGCAAACTGGCGCTCATCTTCACTGTCCCCGGAGCCGGCTAGAAGATCATCACTGTCACCATCCCATTCCCCCGCAACTTCAAAATCCCACTTTGACAGTGCATTCCCTTGCTGTGTGTACCTTTATCCGCAACCTGGATACCTCTGAGCCTTCACGTGATGACGGCCGCGTAGGCCGATTTCTACATGTTTTGGAAGCGGATGACCGATACGTAGACAGGCTTCTTGCTGCGCAGGAATGGCATCTGCGCACCACCGCCATCAAAATTCCCTTGAAGGGATCCTCGACTTCTCCTCCAGTCCTCCTTTGCGAGAAGATGAACGCGCTCTGGCGGAATCTAGATTTCGCCAAATTATTGAGCACTATGAAGCGTACGAACGCCCACCTCCCAACACCCGATACAATCGTATCGAATTAATCCGATCGACATACAATTTTGCGAGGTCAGGAGAGTCCAAGGATAATGTCCTTCGGGCTTTTTTCAGCGCTGTCGGCTTGCCGATGAAGGAACCTGGCGATGTTGATTTCTCCGCCAAAGAAATAGAGGATGACATTTTGGCTAAGCTGACTGGATTTGCTGATTACTTGATCGATAACTTCTTTCTACCTTGTGAGCCTCGCCTATCTTGTTTGGCAAAATGGTAGGCTGACACCCTCTAGTGAAAGCCTCAACTAGAAGAACTCCTCAACCGTCCCCCGCATTCCATTCGGCCACGCAAAGCACGCAGGCAGGCGGGCAGACGTTCATCGGAACCATGGCCCGACTTAAGACTCTGCGAGGCGACTGCCTGCAACGAGACCGACATCGCTGTGTAATCAGCCGCAACTTCGATCAAAATGAAGCAGTCAAACGTTGGAATACGTCGCGTGCAGATGCCGTAGATGATGACGGACACGCCCTTCACGATGGTGTAATCGAACCTTTGGAGGTTGCCCATATTCTACCACACTCATTGGTGAAGGCAAACGTCGATTTAGAACTGGTATGTTCTCTATCCTATTGCAGCATAGCAGACAACTCATTAGTACAGAATGATACCCGTGAAGCCGCATTGAAGATCCTCAACATGTTTGATGATGGTGTCACTCATCTTATTGAAGGCCCTGACATCGACAGACCACGCAACGCCTTGACGCTGACACACAAGCTTTGTTTGTTCTTCGGCGATTTCCAAATGTACTTCGAGCCCGTCCACGGCGAACCAAACACATACCGAATCGACACATTCCTTCCTGGTTCATTCCTGGACAACCTCCTGCCCGTCACTCGCACTTTATTTTTGACAGAATCACGAGGAATCGAACCGCCAATGCCTCGTCTTCTCGCCATCCATTACGCCATCGCCCACATTCTTCATCTCTCTGCTGCTGGACCTTACATTGATAAAATCCTTGAAGATGCGGCGGAGCAAGACGTGCGAGCCGATGGGTCGTTTCCACTCGGACAACTGGTACAATTGAAGATGGAAGGGTTGTTGGGCGACATAGGGGCTTAGCTACATGTGAAATTTTAAATGGCGACGGATATTGGTGCCAAACTGGCACAATGGGTAGTATTCACAAGCACACCGCTTATGGCTTTTAACCAACGCAGCGAAAGGGTACGTAAGGACGTTAGGTGTTTGGCGTTCCATGGTTTAAGAAAGAGCAAGAGAAGGCAAGTGGTAATTAAAGGACCAAATTTTAGCATTGTGCAGGTTTCTTGATACTTTATCCTCAGTTCACCGTCTCCTCTTGGTCTCGCAATCTGTTGACCCAAGTTTTGACTCCCCACATAATCCCAACCAATACTGCCAATCGTACCCAAAACTAAGGCTGCCACAGCATCCATTTCAAAGAAGTCAATGACTCCGAAGAACAAGTCGCAGAAGAACGAAATGACATGTTCAAATGTGCACTTGATAATTTTTCCCAACGCTGTCGACGCGGCAGTGGTAAGGGCCAATTTGCAGCGCCAGGATACCCACACAATAAACTACCCGCCGCAGTGCAAACTGCCAACAGTTCAGGCCACCATTTAATTAAATATTTGACTTTTGGATTGGATCTGGCAAGTCTTTTCTTGAAGGCGTTTTTGAGCTGCTTCTCTAAATTGCTCGTCATTTGGAGTTGGAGCTCCACCGGCATCGGCGGCCTCACAGGTTGAGCTGGAATAGTCATAGAAAGAACGAAAATTTGATTCGTAATTTCGGGTTTTCAGAGAACAGTGATTACAGAAGGAAGTCCCACATAGTGGCGCATCTGTCACGCCAAAAAAAATCGGGCGTGGCCAAGTGATAGATCCAATAGTCGTGTTTTTTCCGCATATTTCAGCATGACAGCACATGTCACTACTCACTGACGTGATAAATCACGTGATCACGCGTTTCCAGGGAATGGGAGGCTAATGCGAGGACGCGCCCGGTCGCGTCCCCATGAGATTCGCCGATTACCCAAGCTCCCATCTCGGCCTGGCTCGACCATCCATTTCACTAACTGCTGTGACTCATATGTATATGCCGGACACATGGCAGAAGATGATAGGCTGCCAAGAAATAAAACGGTCATGCGACCTTCTTATTTTTCCCCTGTTGTCGTGCATCATTGAACTGCCCAATGTCTGGCTCCTGGTGTTGCATATGCAGTATGCAGAACGTAGTCACGAGGGTGATTTCATTCTGCTAGTGGCAGGAATTATTAACACATGATTCTAAGCTCTTCGTTCAGATTCTATGGGAATGACCAAGCTTATAAAATGAGCTACCTCCATCTTTCTGTATCTGCCCCATTTTCTTTCTTGTCACCCTCTTGTTCAACTGGGCACTTCTTAACTTTACTTTGCTTTACGTCAATATGTCCAAAGAAAAACTAGTCTGGATCGTTAAAGACGAGGCGGATATACGGGAGAATTGCTTCCGTGGTCGAGGCCCTTTACGCTGTGATTCGTTTCCACGGGATACGGCATCAGCGAAATCCCAGGCTAGAGGGGTTCTTAATAAACTACTCAAGGAGGAGGGTAAAACTGGATTGATTTTGGGCTTTGAGCTCCTTGACGACTTGGTGGATCGCTCTCAAAGACTCCATGTAGGGCAAACTACTGCTGTGCGGGTTAATATTAGTGGGCTTGAATACCGTGATAGTGAGACGTTTGGAGGTTGGCTGGGTCTGGACCCTGATGACGTGCCTTGTGGCTCTATAATCTGGGATGATATCGATCTCAGTCGTTGTGTCCCTAATACGGATATAGAGTTGAGATTTGGAACGAGCCGTGCAGACTGAGTACTGCTGTGTTTAGTAATGCGATTCTCGGCAATAGGCCTGCGATGTAGGACCTGCGAGAGTTGCCATGATCAAGCGCAACGTTTTGCAGCGCGTCGTCAGATGTGTTTCTACTTAGCAATTTAAACATAGAATCACGAAGGATTGGATGAACCACTTTGATTAAATTACTGGCTTTCTCGTAGCGCAGGATGAAGGTCGATTCAAATGCCACATAGCTCCTACCACCAACTGCGAAACGTTGTATCGGTCCACTGCCGGAGTGCTCGTAGGTTATGCAAGAGCTGATATGCACTGTCTATCCCAGAAGTCCCCCGAGGAGAATAGACGAGAGGATTTCCTGGCTTGGTCAGCGGGCAGTCGAGCATGAATACCAGTGAGTTACCTACCAGGCGTTCAGCTCCAAGAGTCGTGGCGTTTGGTGGGCGCGCGAACATTAGATGCCATTCACTGCTCTGCATGACGATCATTGGGAACACCATCCGGCAGATCACCTCGTCCGAGGGGCTACCAAAGAGTGCTCGCAACCGGAAGACCAGCGACGCGACATAAATTGCAAGCTGTACCTTGGCTTCTTCGATCGTCCGACCCTCTGTCTTGGTCTCGATGCTGATAGCGATTGGCGAGTAGCAGAGGGACTCTGTATTGATGTGATTGATCGAACCCGTATGTGCCTCGTCAGCTAGGGCCACAATCTTCTCGCGGAGGCCGACCGCAGCAGGATCTCGAGTCGTTGATCGCTTGAGCTAATTTCAGTACCCATATATTTGAGGTAGTCGACTAGACGAGACGAGAATTGGGAAGTTCGGGCACTATGCCGATGCCAACTGGGATCTGTTTTCTCGTTTACGCTGAAAGCACCAGGCGATTCAGCTGTGGCATCAGAGAAGGATATGTATTACGCACACGCATTTCCAGCACACTCGTGATGAATCTCGACCAAATGCAATTCGAAGAATTGGCCCATGGACAGCTGCATTCCAGTGCGCCTCATTGTCATTCTTCATTAAGCAAGATTGTGACTCTTCCACGATGTGCCGCAGCAGGCAGAGCTCGCGTCAGGGCCTAGTTGATACTGGTGTCTGGCGTCTGGTATGACAATCCTCCCACTTAACCGTTGACCCCACATCTTCACGGTCCTGCAGTTCCCGCGGTTGACGCCGTCTGCGCCTCCCAGCGTTCTTGGACTTGTGCAATTCGTGCCTTCAGCCTTGTTCCACACATTTTGACCGACAAGACATCAAAATGCTTCAGCGCGGGAATAAGACGCTTTCAGAGGGCCGGCTTATCTCTGTTCCTTTTGTTAACCTCGACCCATTCAACGCCTGGGTCTACCCAGGCAACCACATGGCGCATGACCTGACGCAAAGTCTTGGCTTCCCTCAGGGACAAAACTGTTAACGCGTTCATGTTCATAAATCGCAGACCCGGAGCCTTCATAGACAGGAAGAGCCGGGTTTACCATGTAGGTGACATGGGCATAGTCAGTGCATAGGGAACAGGCAACCGGTAGAGATGACCGTTGTTAAGAGTCGATGGCCGTTACCCCTGAGAAAAGGTGCGTGAAAGAATGGTAGCATGATGGCGCAGAGCTTGAACGTAATACCAGATGGGGACGACGACACGAGGTGTAATACGGCGGCATTAGGCTTGTGATGATCTGTCCGAAGCCACGTCTGTATATTACGCATTCTCAACGCAAAATCTGTCCAATTTACTCAAAACCTGCTGCGCAGGCAGACGGACGCCAGATGGACGGACGGACCGACGGACGGTCACAGAAACACGTTGACGACGATGGAGCAAAACGTGTTGGGATCCCAACTCCCCGCTATGCCAAGCAGAAATGGAAAGAGGAAAGTGGACATGATAAAGGGGCAGCCAAGAAAAAAAGGACGATTCACCAGAAATCCATTCACGGCAGACCAGGCGCGCCACGGCGATACCTGGATCTCGCTTATCGAGGTAGCTGCACAGGCGCCTGAACGGTTTGAAGGGACGAATCAAGAGAAGAAAGAAAAGATTGCGTCGGCATTATATCTGGATACAAAAGCAGATTTCCCACTCAGCCAGCTTGTCAATTTATACCAGAACCGAATGTGGAGAGACATGGCCAGCAGATGGTGCAGAAGTCGTGTTGATAAAGAGACGTTGCACATCTGTCAGTGGGTGGGGATGATTGGTCTCGGGATTGATCATGTAAGTAGGAAGCCACTGTTGTTATGGTCGAGGTGTGCCACGAGCAAGGACACGAACAAAATAATACTAACCGCTTGCTTCTGGTTCCAGTCCTTCTTCTCTCTCTTCGGCACCGTCCTCCACACTTTGTCGCGGCTGCCCGCCGACGCAGTATCGAATGTTTCCTGGAATGATTGGAAGCAAATGTCCCGTCGCCTCACGGACGAAGAAGAAAAGAGGGAAGAGGCAGGACATGGGTGGAAATCGCACTTCAATACTGCGTTATACACGCAATCAACGTCTTCCTCGCATTCGCATGGATCTGTAAAATAAATATGGCAGCAACAGAGGCTAACGTGATGTATTGTCATATGCATTGTTCGGTAGCCTTGCGTCGCGAATAGGGAAGGAGATCAAGTAGTGCAGAGATTGCTGATGAAATGCAATGAGAATTATATTGTATGATGTTCAAGATCCGAAAGAGAGGTGGGCAGGAAATGCATCAGCGGCGACACGTATAAGTTTATTTAAGTAACTAGTAGCCCAGCCAGGAGGGGCGTGTAAAATGTAACAGAGTGTCTGATGAGCGTTACGCTGGTGCTCGGATCAAACAGAACACGAGAAACTCAGGCCCAAGTCAACTAGTCTCGCCATGTGCTTCAGTTTCTTTGGCATATTAACGGAAAAGGCCTTGATGATTATGAGAATAACACCAACAGAAACAACCATAATGACCCAGATAAACTCCTTGGCCATCGAATGATACTGGGCTCTGGCTAATCAGGCTTGCAGGAATTATAGCAGCTTGGATAGTATGACAACGCTAGTACGGCATTGATGTATAGTAGTAATGCGAGATAAAATAAGCACAGGAGAACGAGGATCAACGGACATTGTACGGGGTACGGCTGTGTCCATCCGTCAGGAAGTGTCCTCCTCCCCGGGGTGCATACAATTTGCAAAGATTGAGAGAGTCGTCTCTTTCCATTTATTGGATATTATAAGTCTCACAAGCCTGGGTTCAATATTAAAAGAGCATGGTGGATTTGTGAAACCACGTCCCGGGATATGTCCGAAGAGTGGTGTTGTTATTGAATGATCGGCTCTTTTGTGAATTCACGAGACCAGTAATAGACGACCAGACACGACCATGAAATGTGCTCTAGGCAACGTCATTGACCCCGATGGCCAAGGAGGGGGGGGGAGGGCGTGTAAATTGTAACAAATGGGATCTGGCTGAACGACTTCTCTGCAACCATCTTAAACCCCTGCTCGTTTGGCAATTTTCAAGTCAGCTACGTTCACTCCGGTCAATAAACCGCACGCATATTGGGGCAAAAAAAAAAAAAAATGTCTCCTAGCCAGCAAAAAGCGTGCGCATACTCCGTACCACGCCAGCCTTGTTCTTGCTCTTATTTGTCTCATCTCTCGCTCCTAGTCACACTTCCGTCGTCCCGCGTCTTGTCTCATTGGCTCCACCTGTTACACTACGGAGTATTACATGTGTCGTGGCCACGCTTATTCTTTTACACGATATATTTTTTTTTCTCCCCATTCCTGCCTATTCCTGCTCTTTCCTGTTGTATAACATGACATTTTTCTCATTATTTCTGCCTATTCCTGTCCTTTCCTGTTGTACAACATGACATTTTTCTCTCGCCATTTCTCGACATTTCTGCCCTTTCCTGTTGTACAATGTCACTTTTTTTCTCCCAATTTCTCGATATTCCTCGCCATTCCTGCCCTTTCCTGTTCTACAATATCACTTTTTTCCTCCCCATTTCACCCTTAGTATTATAAAGTGACAAATCACAGCAAGCGGACAATCATGGCGCCAACAGCATTCACATCGGCTAACAAAGCCGTCGCCAGGCTCAAATCCGTGTCCCGGGCCATGCAACTGCGAATGTGCCTTAAGCCTGCCGAAGAAAAACGCGTTCGCGAAGCATTGACCCTGGTCACATCTCAGATCACAGAAAATCTTGATCCCAAGCAAAAAAAATATCGAGACTTTCTACAGCATATACTGGATATTATAGGATTATATGGTGTGGTTATTTCTGCAGCTGGACTTGGCATTAGTGTGGTCCTCCGTATAAAAGATCTTGTTCGGCTTGAGATGCCATCAAAACTAAAGGAAAGTGAAAACGATATACGGTGCACCGTCCTTGAGAATATCACTAACAAGTTCAGCTCTGAATGTGAGTCATGCAAGTTATTTTAATGTCCGGTTCGATTGGTACACACGCTGAGTTAACAGACCTCCCCAGAATTAAGAACAAATTGACAGACAGGACGCCGGATAATCCCCAAGGCACGCAGTCACTGGAAATGCAAATTATAGACCATGATACAGCGACAGGGCATAATTACCCCTATGCCGGCGATGCCTATCAGCTGACTTGGGAAGAGGCAGAGACACTTGTCGGATCCAAACGAACTGTTGGCCAAGTGTACCCAGTGGACACGTTTATGCGAGAAAAGAGCCCTTTTATGCTTGTTCCGGTATCTGAAGAAATGACTAGGCTACTTGCTGTGCAGCGTCCGAGAGGATAGGATCGTTGCTTGGACTGATAATATAACCTACACGTATTATTCCTACTACTCTGAACCACCATTCGCCTTTCCAAGGTACTATAACCATGAATCCGGCGTCCTCAGTGCCCACTCCTCCAATGTGTGTATCCCCCAGAGCGCCGTTGTAGATTCGAATAGCCCCCTTGTTGTGAGGGACATCGACAACGATCGCAACAGTGTTTATAGGCGGCTCAATCATTCTGCCCCTTTCAGGCTCTCCCCAGGTGATAACACAATTGCCATACTTAAAAATAAGTTTTTAGCTTCCTCTAATACCAGGGAAAATGCCGTCTTACCTCGTTCAAATACTCCAAAAGCTCCGCATCGGTTTGTCGTTGTACTCGGATCAGGTTGGCTTCCGTTGCCATGCTTCTGTTGTAATTTCGAATATCTCGATAATCACGCACGATAAGTGCTAGGGAAATGCGATTTTAGCAATAGTCAGATATAACTTCAAGAGCTTATAGCATTTCGCTGTCATTCAGAGCTCGGTAAGGGTTGTTGCTCGTACGTGCGTTGGAGATGATGACGATTGCGTCTTATTATCGTATATTGGCGCGGGGTACAAGTCGATTTTGGTCTTCCGCTGGACCGGTTGGTGCCCAAAGGCCACAGGCTGCAATGTTGGGATTGATACGAACGACGCCCAATGTGACAAGGGTTCAATATGAAGGCTTGGAGCAAAAGGGCTCAATTCAATAATAATCTCGTAGGATGTCAAAGGTCCTGAGTTCCTAAGAGGAAGGAAGGGAAGGGTAACTACTTTATATACATAAAAGGAACGCCTAGGCCTAAGGCTCTTACCTGGGCACGTGTTCTAGCTGTGTAACTAATAAGTTCCTTTATCGGCGAAGCCCCTTTGTTGGGCTTCACGATTCGTTGGGCCTTTTCCGTGTAACACCTAATTACCCGACTTTATGCCATGTTTTTGTGACACCAATAGTTGATAATTGAGGGGTATTCGCGGATTGAGTTTAAGTAGTTCACTTAAATGTCTTTAATCATGGGCGTTTTCGATAACTTCGAGGGTAACATACATTCACTGGACGAGATGGGTATTACTTCGTTTGGTGCGGATAGCTTTTGGGGATTTCTCGACTCTGTCCCTGATAACTGCCAATTTCTTATTCACGCTATAGCTGATTTTTCACCAACTTTGAAATGTGCAAGTAACAAGTAAATTTCCTCTTTTCGCGTGCCAATTGCCGTCCCACTGTTCAATTCGATCCATCGTTGCTAATCATGATAGTATTACACGGCAAGATCGTCCAGAGCGGCTTAGACGGAATAAAAGACCCTTGATGTTTCACAAAAAAGAATAAATAGTCTATTTCCTCTATAATAAACTGACTTCTGTTTAATTCTAATCTCCGTGAATAAGCGGCTTAATCTGGCAGAGTGCGTTGGTTCTGCCAACAAGAGATGCCACTAACAAAGGCTATCTATAGAAGGAACAGGCTGGACCCTGCGCGAGAAGTTGTATCATGTTTAATAACCTTTATATATTAAGACTTACGGTGTTAGGTTCCTAATCTTCTAGGCCGGCACTTCTCCCCTTAGCAAGTATAGCAGTACTTTTATTAACCCTCCTAAGTTTTATCACGGGTTGAGTTTGCTAAGTCAGGATATCCGCGGAATAAGTCTTGATGGATTGCCATTTCCTAGTTTTAATGTCTAAGTACCTGATTTTGGTTATCTTAGGAACGTTATAGGTGGTTGTTATTTTAACAGCGTTTAATAAGTTGGTTGCGTTAATTGGTGCTGTTTTCGTAGGGATCTTGGATGTTGATTTATATCCGGTGTAAGGACGATTGTTGTATTGAGACTCCACGCTGTACTGATAATTGGGCTAAGATGAACTCGTAAGGGGGCTGAAGACTTGCCAGGCAGAGTCACGGCGAGTAGGGCTGTTAGGGCGTAGTGTCTTGATATATCTATTAGTCTAATTTGAGCCTTTGGTGTTGGTATACTTGACGTCTTTTAATGCAGTATGCAAGGAAATTAAGAGTTCCTGCTAAGGTTTATCTGTTTCTAACAATGGTTTGGTTTTATAATATGATTAATACTGATAGTAGTTTTTGGACAGATAAACCTAAAAGGATATCTAATGAGTGGATTTGTAAGTGTTTTTGCGATTAGGGTTGTCTACTTATAAAGGGATTATAGGCTTATGCTTTTTGGTGAACGGTCTGCTTTTAGCTTTCGTCTTGTTTTTGGGCTCAGGGACTTTGACCTACTCGGGGTCTGATTCCATAGCACATAGAGTGTTCACACCCGTGAAAGGTGTAACGGAGCGACGACCAGCAGGGGAGGGGCTTGAAAGTGGTGAAGGCATTTTGGTGCTGAGTAATAAGACTACAACTGTGAGGCAGGTGAGCAGATGGTTAGACGTTATATATAAAATATCTCTTATTTTTTCCCTGTAATATTCTTTATAAATCAGTTTTAGGATAAAGATTTGCTTCTCTGGGCTAGTTCTAAATAGCGATTGATCAACTTACTAACAGCTTTCTGCAAGCCACATCATGACAAGTCGCATAGTTGATACATGTGGTGACAAATGTATACGGAAAACGATTTGGCACATATTGATGAGGAATACAGAGCCAAAAGATCGTGTAGTAGTCCGTTGAGACCAGGATGTGTATGTACGTATAGACTATAAGTCATGATATGGGTTGCAGAAGACATACCGTTTATCTCGGACCGTTCCCCCGCGGGTGGCCATAATCCCGAACCTCCCCACCTGGTGGCCGTTTTTCTGGTCAACTCAATTTTGCCTTACCTTGTTGTGCCAGTTATAATCCGGCACCTCTCCCTGGTTGAGCAACTTGGGGCTCGCCAAGTTTTGCCTCACCTCACCAACTTCCTCAATCCAACGCTCTCTGTTCCGGAAGCTCCCTTGGCCCTCTCTCTCTATCAGGCTCCTGAATTGCCGGCATTCCCTCATCAGCGACTATTAGTTTCCCTGGCCTTTGTTTGTTCCTGAAATTCCACTAGACACTCTCCAACGCTCGATACGCCATTTCATCCTCGGAAAAGGTCTGAGAGATATTCTTAACTCAGCCCTGGAAAGCGAACAAGCTCGGAAGAAAGCCCTCGTTCCTCACGGTCTGGCTCTCTGAAGACTTGGGGGGGATATTAGCCCGTCGGGCGCGACCAATACACTATTAGTCACATTCTTAATACTAAATTTGCCAATTTTTACATACATACGGGGATTATCATATCAATCAACCTATGTCGACCAATCAAGCGATTATTCCAATCTTCAAAAGTGCATCCTTGAGATCTTGATATGTTTCCATCCTGGGGTGAGCGTCACCCTTGTTGTAAATCTCATGGGTTGTGGCTCTCTGCCCATGCGACTCATTAGCTTGGCATACCCGTGGTTGACCCAATTCTGTTGCAAACCTCCAGCCGGTCTGTCTGGTGGAGATGCAGCCGTTTAAATCAGAGGCACACAGCATCACTGTTGCCTGTGGAAGAATAAGCTCCAACATATTTGCTGGATTTTCGTCGACGATCTGAAGTCCAATAAAGGAAGACAAGTTGTTGGCATACAAATAGTCGGACAAGTTGTGGAGAAACATGTCGTCAATTTGAGACAAATCAGGTGCAGGGCCTGTTTGGTACTCATATGGGCGGAACCCATTGTCCCTCAGAACGAATATATGTCCATGTATATCGCTGAGATCCATATCCGGAATCGGTGTAGTTCTGGCCCAGCGACAACGTGGCCGGTCGTAGTTGGCTCCAAGCAGAACAGTTCTCGTGGGTATAGTAAAATGGGCATGTACTAAATGAATGCCAAAAATGTTATGAGCACGGTTCCGAACGAAGAGCGCAGCAAGATCAAGTATATGGTATTCCTGGATCTCGGGTTGTTTGGCGTCGTCAGGTAGGTTGTTGTAACTGGTCTGACATTAGTCCGGGAATTGATGGAATGGGGCAAACACCTACATATTTCGGCTTTCCTCTAGATCCTCCTCCGTCAGAGCCTTGTCTAGGCCAGGGATGCCCGCTCCTTTCGCCATAGCAGAGGCCAAGCGAAGCGCAGAGTCGTCGGTTTCCGCCCACGGTTGTAAGTGCAGGTTTTGCCTACACTACATATGTACGGCGTGGAAGGCTTCAAGGGTTGGCGATGTCGCTGAGATAAGCCAGCGGACTATAATATTGTAGTAAACAACTTGTCGGCGCATTAGTGAAAGGAATAGGTACCTTTGTTGATTTGTAGCCAGTTCAAAATGAGCGCGTGATTTTTTTGTCCTGGTAGGGCATCACGAGGGGTGGTGGTATTGGCAGCCACCGCCACAAAGTCGCCTGCACCTCGGTATCAACTACATGTAGAGAGCTGTCGAACTATGTAGCGTAATAGGCACAGACTTCTTTTGACCTGGAAAGCCTAGCCCACCGCCCCTTTTCTTTCATTTCTCACAGCGGAAGAGACATGTGACGCGCGACGAATATATCTGGGCGTAATGGAAGCGATGGTTGCAACAGCCCGACTTGAAGCTCCCGCTCCAACACCGTCTCTGCGATTAGAGCAAACAAGGCCGAGAGGCTCTAGGGTTGACGCAGAATCATGCGATACTAAAACTAGTGGTGGCTGCACAGTGCGATGTCTCACTTACAACGCCACAATCTGTAACGCTCAACATGTACGAGTTGTTGTCCTCGACTTCCTATTCTGAGGCTGTAAGCACGAAACGGCTTAATATAGCAGGCAATAAGTTCCTCTCGAGAGATGGAAGCCTTATTATGTCTAGTACAGGAGATACTTCATCATAAATGCCAGATATAGAGGACGCAAGAATGCTAATTTAAGAAGCCCCGGTTTACCGGTAGTTCTGTTACAAATAGTCAATAATAGCTCTATTAAAACCTGGGACGCATACTCGTGGTCGCTGGATAGTAGGGTCTCGTGTATATTCTAATTAATGTCGCTGACAAAGGGCCAGGCGAATCCAAAGAAGACGCCAAGAGGTACAGGAAGTCTCTACGCCACGCTTTAATTTTATAAATTATTATATATAAATTAGCTACTTTAACCGCTCTAGAATAATATACTTCTATATAATAAGAAAAGTAAACTAATCTTATTTTTTAGAGGTAAACCTAGGTATAATTTTATATAATAATATACTTAAAAAGTTTTTTTAAGTATTTTATAAATTTATTATTAAATTATAAGTAAATTTTTACTTATAATAGCCTAGGCTTTTCTTTTAATTAATAAGAAGCTTATTTTCTTCTTTTATAAACCTAGCTTTGCTGCTATATTCTTACTTAATACTTCTAGTAATACCCCTATAAGCTCCACGTTATAAAATAAGCTCTTAAGTAATATAGTAATTTATTGTAATATAGCCGGTATTAATATTAGTATTAATACAAACCCTCCCGGCAAATAAAAAGGGCTAGCTATAAAGGAAGTTATAAACTTTATAAAAATAAAGCTTAGGCTTTAATAAGCTTTATAGTATACTAGTATTAAAATAGAAGATAATATACTAATACCTTTATTATTATTATCATAATTAGATAATCTAATATAATTGCCTAGTAGGCTTGTTAGCGTTAATAAATATCTTAGTATAAGGGATAGTTCTACTATATACTAATACTATTTATATTCCTAGACTGCTTTTTGGCGGATACCGCTAATACCCTGACTAATAAAAAGGTATTGCTTAGCTGTGCGTTCCTGAAGCTGCCGGCGACGCCAGAGCTATAAAGATAGTATAGTTTTATAGTTTTTAGTAGCTTTTAATATAATATAATTTTAGTATAATAAATTATATTTATATTTAATATAGTTTTTAATAAATATAATTTTTAGCTATTTTATAAACTAATATTATATAATATAATTAATAAGCTAAAATAATATTAATTTTACTAACTAATACTAATATTAATAAGCAAGGATTAGCTAGTTTAATTAGGCTAATAATAGGAATTAAAAATAGTTAATAAAATACTAAAAAGGGAATTATAAAAATAATTATATTAGGTAAGTATATATTATTTTATATTATAATTATAAGTAAAATTTATATAATTTTATTAAATTAAATTAATATAAAAAAATAAAAAAAAGCTAGTTAATTACTAGAACCTATTAATAATATAATTAATAGCTATACCTAGCTAATATAATAATAATATATAATTTAAAAAATATTATATATATTATAATATATTAACCTTAGCTATTATTATTATAAAAGTAAACTATAAACCTATTAATTTTACGCTTATAACTTATATTAAGTTATACTAAAAACCTAAAATACTTATATATATAACATATTTATATAGTTTACCCTTACTTATATTTTAAGTTAATTTTATTTTTTTTTATTTAAGTTATTTACCTTTTTTATTATTAAAACCTTATTATAAATAACTAATTATAAGTTACTACTCTTATATATATATATCTCTTATAAGTACTTACTAATATTTATTATAGCTATTTATAAACTATTATATATAAAGTATATACCTATTAATATAAGTTTTTATAAAATAAAATTAACTAGACTAGCTTATTAATAATAATAAAATAACTAAGTATAATAAAAAGCCTAATATAAGTAAATTACTTATTATAACTTTTAAGGGTTAAAGCTAATAAGGCCTAATAAGTAATATAATTATTAATAAATTAAAAGCTTTTTATAATAAAAAAAATACTTATTTTAAAATTAAAAATTTTAATTTTATAAAAATTAAAAAAATTATAAAAATAATTAAGAATTTAAAAAAAAAAGGCTTTTAAAAATATTAAATTAAAGTATAATATTAAGAAAGCTATAAAATTAGCTATAAAAAAAGCTAATAAAGTGTTACGACCCAGTCGTATGCAGGAAGCAGGCTGCAGGTTGGGCCGGCTGCATGAGCCACGGGGCGGCACAGGCAGGGCGGACAACGGATTAATAGTCGGAGCAACCGTCACATCTGGATCGCAGAAGGAACCGTGATCCGTGTAAGCGGGATCACGGTCACAACAGCGATCCAGAGGGAAACATCACGACGGGAGAAGTGATCCATCGTAGTATATAGGGACCCCCAATTTCGCTCCATAAATAGACTCTAGCTCCTTAGCTTTCAACACAGATCATTACATTAAATAAGCTTCGCTTACAACTCTTTGACTCTGATCACTTAGTTACAGTCTACAACCTATCACCAACATAACAACCAACCGCTCAGATTAACTGCCCTAGTTATTCTGCCAACATAAACTACGACTAGTTTATCCCTTAGGAACCTTAGCCGTTACACGTTAAAAGCTCTTATTCAGACAACCACTACGTCACTCTAAGCAATATCTAATAACTGTCGAGATAGCACCTACAACACCTACCTCGTCTAAGGCAACTACATCGCCAACACCTCAGGAACCTCAAAGCCTCGGACCCCAGGACCTCATGATCGAACTTATACGACTACGCCAACAAGTTGAGCAACTCAGCCTTAAACACCAAATGCTTATATCAGGACAAAAAGACTTAGGAGAGATCACCAAGCCTAGGGCACCAGGACCCTATAACAGCAACCCAAGAATACTCCAAGGATTCTTAACCCAGCTCAGGGCGTACCACCAATTCTACCCAAACAAGTTAACCAATATGCAAGCAAAAGTGCTACACGCTGGAGGATGTATAACGGGCACCGCGCTCGCATGGTTTGAACCAATTATGCGAGACTATCTCACCAACGCAGGAGATAATCAAGAAGACGAAACAAAAGAAATATTTGCCGACTATAAGAAATTCGAAAAAGCAATCAAAAAAACATTTAGATCAACCGACGAAGTAAGGACCGCAATCATTCACATGGATCAACTCAGACAAAAAGGATCTACATCAGATTATACGGCACGTTTCAGACAAGTCACCTCAGTACTAGACTAGGAAGATAAGCCACTCATGTCAGCCTTCTTTAAAGGACTGAAAGAAGAAATCAAGGACGAACTGTACAGAGAAAACATGCCAAACAACTTCTCAGACTATGTGGCAATAGCAGTTCAAATCGATAACAGACAGTATCAACAACGCATGCAAAAGCAACAGGGAAGGGGAACCTAGAACCCCACAGGAAGAAGAGGACAGCAGGCAAACCAGAAGAGAAGGCGAGAAGAACCTATTGCCTACGGTCACACTCTTAACCCTGGACGAATAGAGCTTAACGCTACCAAAAAGGATAACAAGAAAGAAAAGAAATGCTACAACTACGGAAAACCAAGACATTTCGCCAATAAATACAAGAAACCCAGGAAAGAATAGAAGCCAGTACCAAAAGGAGGTAAAAAACAGCTCAACGCTACTAACCAACAGAAAAACGAAGTTACCAAACCAGAGGTAGAACATAAGAACCTCAACTGGACCTTCTACTACGACGACAACTGCTACGTTCACATAAGCAGCAAACAAGAAACAGGATGGTTTCCAAAAGAACCAAGAAAACCAAGGAAGAAAATTGTGAACTTCGTGGGAAACAGGCTACAAGTAGCCAAACAACTGGTACAAGAAGAACTAGACGAACAATCAATAGAAAAGAAAACTCTTACAATAACAGGACGAAAAGAACTCCATAAACTAAAGTCGCCGGAATATTTAGACAAAGACTCGCACCAAGAAATCCTCAATTGGGTGCGACAACAAGCAAAAGCAAGGAAGATTCAAAGGGAACAACAACATAAGGAGAAGCAAGACGCACAAATCCTCACCCCCCTCAACAAACCAGAAAATAGAGTAAGGGAGATAAGCGTCGATAACAACAACACAATCCTAGACACTCCAGAAGCGTCCAAAGACGAACAAAGCAAGAAAGAAACGCCAGCAAGGCTAACAGCCACACAAGAGCAAGCTGTACAACAATATTTCCCCGCACCAACAGGAAAACATTTCGCAATTCCTATTATTGCGGTGGACACCACCACAATATTAAGAAACCCAACACTATAGTACCCAAAGAGGGAAGAAGGGGATAACCCCAGACTCTCACTAAGACATAAGGACCATACACGATTAGCATAGGCATCATACATATTTATAATGTGCCAGGCACATTTTACAACCAAGGCACAACTAGATGCATTTCCGATCAGGATAAAAGGATATCCGATCAAAGCACCATACTTCAGATAGGAACTCCTAGAATAAAGAGTAAAGATAATCAATAACAATCAAACGATGATCTTGGAACCCGATTCAAACACACCCATCAAATGCCGAGCTCATACAGATCCTACAGACATATGTGAATCAGACACATACCAGTTACATATATATACAAAAAACAAGCAGTAGCATCAGTATATGTATAGGGGAAAGATCTCAACACACAGAAGAGAGTTACTACTCAAGTCACCTCAATGTGAAACGAAAGACCACATAGTATACCCACTACCAAATTGCTCAGAACATATGGTAGATAAGGCCAGAGAATAGCACAAGTAGCAATGTAGGACACCAGCAGCATACAAACGGACACAACAAGCATTAGACATACTCAAACAAAAAGATCCCAGGGGAACCACAAAATCAACATACCATAATAAATAAAGGCTAGATAAGTGGTACCACGAACAGAAGTTCAACCCCAGATGCAACAAGAAACATACGGTAAACTACAATAACCCAAGATGCAAAAAGCACGAAGAAATAAAAGACCAAATTTACAACCGCCTATATCAAATATTTAACAATAGGTTTTACTTTAAGCACCCACAAAATAGAACTAGACCTACAGAATAGTACCAGGAAATAAAACAACAAATCACAGAAGAATCTATTCCGGAAAACTCAAAAAACAAGGCACGCCATCTGTAAAAGGGCTACAAGCTGGCATAAAGAGAAAGACGCTAATGACCCTCAATGCAATCCAAGATGGACAAAGCGATAAGATAGTATTAGACGCCGAAGTCATAGGACATCACGTTCGCATACTTGTGGACAGTGGCGCGATAGGCAACTATATCTCACCCAGAGTTATTAATCGTTACCAACTACCGTAGAAACACAAAGAGGCACCATACAAGTTAACTAATATCAAAGGAAAACTTTTTGCCTACAATAACGGAATCATTAACCAAGAAACTGATCATCTCAAAGTACAAATTCAAGGTCATTCAGAAGTGATTCAACTCGATGTTATAAACGTATCGGAACACAACCTAATATTAGGGTACCCATGGTTATAGAAAAGTAACCCACTAATCAACTAGAGGACAGGCCAACTAAAGTGGAACAAGACTTCAGGCCAACAGAATCAACAGAATTCGGAAGAAAGAACAAAATTTCGTTATAACTTAGCTCACGAACAGAGTTCTAAAGAAAAGGAACCTTCAAGCAAGTTATCTAAGGACCAACAATAACAGATAAACAATACAAAGACAATGAGTACAAAGAAAAGAACGATTAGATCCACCATAACGACCTCAACGGCGCTACAAACCGGGATACAAACAACAATAAGCAACAAGAAGACAAAAGCCAAGATCCAAAAAGTTATTGCCACCTTAAGGAAAAACCTCGCAAACACAAATAAGAAACTCGAAGAAAAGAAGAAAAACAAGAACAACAAAAACGACAAAAGCCCAATAACAAAAAAAGAAAAACTCAAGAATATCCCTAAAAAATACCAGAAATACAAAAAATTATTCGCAAAAAAATTAAAAACCGGATTACCCAAACACAATCAATAGGATCATAAAATCGAATTAGCAGATAGAAAGTCAACAACATTCCACAAGATCTACAACTTAAACGCAAAAGAACTCAAAACGTTACGAGAATACATCAACAAGATACTAGCAAAAAGCTATATCAGAGCATCAACATCAGAAGCTAGATACCCAGTTATATTTGTTCCAAAGAAAAACAGAAAATTACGGTTAGTAGTAGATTATCAGCGATTAAACGCGATTACCATAAAAGACAGAACACCATTACCACTAATATCGGAACTACAAGACCAATTGCACGGTATAAATTAGTTCACCGCGGTAGACCTAAAAGGAGCATACAACTTGATTCAAATAAAGAAGGGTCACAAATAGATAACAGCCTTCAGAACGAAATTCGGACTATTCAAATACTTGGTAATACCAATAGGGCTCACCAACGCACCAGCAACATTCCAGAGAATAATCAACAGCGTACTACAAGAATATTTAGATAACTTTGTAGTAATATATCTCGATAATATACTGATCTTCTCGAAAACCCTAGAAGACCACAAAGGACACGTACACACGGTACTAAAAACGCTACAAGACGCTAAACTATTACTTAAACCAGCAAAATATAAGTTCCATACACAAGAAATAGACTTCCTAGAACACACAATACAACCAAACAAGATACAAATAAAAAAGACAAAGATCAAGGCAGTAAAGAACTGGCCAACACCAAAAAATATCAAGAACATACAAAGCTTTAGAGGCTTTACAAACTACTACAGGAAATTCATCAAAAGCTACAGCGAAATCGCAGCACCCTTAGATAAACTCACCAAGAAGGATAAGCAGTAGAATTAAAACGATAAGGCGCAATATACCTTTAACAAGATCAAAAAACTCATCACATCCGAACCTGTTTTAAGAACCTTCAACCCAGAAAAGGAAACAAAATTAAAAACCAATTCATCAGACTTTACTCTAAGAGCACAAGTTAGACAAAGAGACAATAACAAAAAACTACACCCTATTACGTTCTACTCAAAGAAACTTCATGGAGCAGAACTCAACTACCCCATCTACAACAAAGAATTCCTAGCAATCATCAATACTTTCAAGAAATTTAGACACTACCTCATGGGAAGCAAACACAAAGTTAAGGTGTACACCAATCACAAGAACATCTCTCACTTTACGACAACACAACAATTAAATAGACAACAAATTCGATAGGCCGAATATCTTTCAGAATTCAACTACAAAATCATCCATCAAAAAAAATCCAAGAACAGACAAGCAGACGCTCTAAGTCGAAGAAGCGACTACAATACAAGAGTACCTATAGCGACAAGACAACTCCTTAAGGTTAATACAAATAGCAATTTTCAGCAAAAACAACTGAATACCATACTAAAAGTACAAGACAAAGACCCAGTATACAAGAAAATCCAACAATAGGCAAAGGAAAAGGTTAGGTTTACAAACACGCCAGAAAAATATCTCGCAGAACCCGGAACTATCCCAAAGTACCATGGAAAGACCTGGATACCTCCAGAGTTACAAGAAGAATACATCAAAGAAATACACGAACATCCAGTCTATAGACATCAAGGAATCCGCAAAACACTGGATAAGATACGACAACAATACGATTTCTCAGGAATCAAGAAGATAGTCGAAAAGGTTATCAACAAATACATACAATACAGAAAAAGTAAGGCTTCACGACATAAGCCATACAGAGAATTACAACCACTACCAGTACCAACACGACCATGGGAATCAATAGCTTTCAATCATATTACGAAGCTACCAATATCAAAAGAACCAATAACCAATATAGAATATAACAGCATATTCGTGGTCACAGATAAACTCACAAAGTACAAATACTTTCTACCGTACAAAAAAGCAAGCAATACAGAAGAACTTGCATATATGTTCTTACAAACAATAACAAGCAATCATAGGCTGCCAGAGGAAATCATATCAGATAAAGGAAGTACATTTACCTCTAAATTTTAGCAAGCACTTATAGCACAACTTAGAACGAATCACAAGTTAAGCACTGCATATCATCCACAGACGGATAGACAAACGGAAAGATTAAACCAGACGCTTAAACAATATCTACGATACTACATCAATCATCAACAGAACAATTAGGTTAAATAGTTACCTACAGCGCAATTAGCTTATAATAGCTCAATATCGGAATCGACGAAGCAAACA